ACGTTTTATCAAGACTGTAGCAAGAATTTCAGAGAGGCAAATATTTTCCATTTTCCTTTGAACACAGCTGGTCAGGAAAGTCGAGATTCCTCTTTCAAGGTCAAGTTTACCCAAGGCACTGCAATACAATACCTTCATAAAACCGCCATCAAGCCTCAACAGAAAACAATAGAATGGAGACCGCCCCCTCTCCCCCCACCACCTCCACTCTGTGCCCCACCCTCATTCTCCCTTGCCTCCAGCTCCCGGCCTTTGATGCGATCATCTTCCTGCTAAGCAGATTTCCACTTTTTCCACCTCTCTGAAGGATCATCCAGTTTGTGCTGGGACTTGTTTCATGCAACAGCACAACAGCCGATCTGCCTGTGTCTTTTGTTGTGACGTTGGTTGTGTTCCTGTTTTGTTGCCTTTTCACGAGTACATCCACCTTCAAGGAAATCCCCCTCCGCCCTTTTCATGTCTTTTCCATCCCTTCATTAACAATTTATAGTGCATTGTATTCCAAAGGTAAAGCGTCACGTCAGAGGAAAATCCTGGTGCAAAAGTGAGAAAAATAGCTCCTGGTTGATTGATGAGCCAAGAAAACGAAGGGGTCAAGAGAAGGAAAAGAGAAACAAGCGGTGCGATGGACTTCTTCATCGGTTTGGTCATTTCTGCATATTAACCCATTTAATCCCAAATTTTTCCCAGACATTTAAAAGGCAAAATCAGGTGTCATTGGTAGCCCTTTTAAGTAATCAGTAATAAAAAAAATATAGAGCCCTCTAAATTAAATCATTGTTGTCCTTCACAAATGTGACCGGTGGGATTAAATGGGTGAAGGATTACACTGCAAGTGATGATTTGAGAGCAAGCCAGGGACAAACAAAGTACAGTGGTACCTCTACTTACGAAATTAATTGCTTCTTAAAGAAATTTCTTAACTAGAAAACCAAAATTCAGCCATAAATGTTTTCTAAAGCATAAAAATGCATCAAAATATGAAACAAATACATGTTGCAATTAGATCATTTCCCAATAAATGAGAGATGTGCATCATGTAAAAAACGAAGAATCGAGTCAAGAATAAAAATGATGGTCATTTAACTTTTAACTGCGTCCTCATCGTTTTTTTGCCCTCTTTAGTTCATGTTCTCTCTCAGAAGTGGTTTTTGCCTGGCGTTTTGTAAAGAACTGTTCCAAGACCATTTGCTTTTGTCAGATTGTAACAATCCTTCGAAAATATCCAAACATCAGCATCGTGAGCGATCGCCGGACTGGTGAACACTTTTTCTGGGTGATTCACATTCACGTAAAACGATTGGAACGTCATGGCCCGAGGAGTGAAAGACGAAGGCGCTGCATCGACACGTATCTATCGCTTTATCTATCCACACACATAGACACTTACGGTAGAGGTCCCTCTTAGCCAATGGGATGCCAGGAAAATGCTTGGTAATAGCCAATGACAGAGCAGCTATAAGTATGTTGCATTGAGTAAACTCGGAGCTGCGAGTAGCAGCCCATACTGTATTTTTACCTTTCCTATCTTGAAATTTCTTTCATAATAAGAGGCAATATTTTCCTGTTGAGGCGTTTCGTTACTTGAAAATTTCGTATGAAGCGACGTTCGTGAGTAGAGGTACCACTGTACAGCTCTCTGTTTTAGAAGAAAACAAGAAAACTGTCGAGGGAAATAGTATAAATTGACTTGTGATTGTACCTGGCACCAGTCATCATCGGCTGAACATGTGAATTGCTTTTTATACAATGAATACAAATTGTGCGTAACCACAATTAAGTGATTTAATCGACTGTTACACTCACACAAAAAAGCCAGACTTTTTTATACCTCAATCAAACTGGAAAGGCTGTTTTTAGGCATCTACGTAAATCATAGTAAACCTGCAAAAAGACTGGAGGCACATTTAGCGTCACCTTGTGTTCATAAACCTTGCCCCGTCGCCTGCTATCTGTCTGAACATGTGAATATTGTACAAGGAGAAGCCCTGTACTGTATAGCCGCGAGCCCTCTTGATCAACCTTCTTGCAATTTTGCAAATATAATAAAACATTGTACCATATGAAAGTCATTTTGCTGAGGCATGTGGAGGTTGGAATTCATCGTCTTTCTGCATTCCTCTTTATTTTTCCATCCAATCCATCTATCCCAGGTGATCTGACTAATAGTCTGTTACCCCAATGGAAAATCTCGAGTTTTCAAGAACTAACGTGTTCGTATGAAAATTTGTTTTCATGTCTGTTTGCTGTTTTAGGTTTTTGTTGTTTTTCTCACGAATAATATTTGATATAGTCTTGATAGCCATATAATAATATGTCATTGGATACACCCATACTGATGTAGATAGACTAACGTGTTGGAAACTGTGTCTATAAGTTTGTATGCATATATGGAAAAATATATGTATATGTGTGTGTGTGTATACAGTATGTGTGTATGTATGTATACATCGCAGGGCACATATAACCTGCAAAAAACTCGAAGAAAATTGCTTTACCGACATCCTGGCATGCACTGACAAACAACCATTCACACTCACAGTGACACATTTAGTGTTTTTGGAATAGGGGAGGATACAGGAATACCCGGAGAAATATACACATCCGTCCGTCCATTTTCTGATCCGCTTATGCTCACAAGGGTCGCCGGTGGGCTGGAGCCCATCCCAGCTGTCTTCGGAGAGTAGGTGGGGAATACCCTGAACTGGTTGCCAGCCAATCGCAGGGCACATAGAGACAAACAAAAATTTGTAATCATAATCACACCTAGGGACAATGTTGAGCGTGCCAGTAACCTGCCAAGTGTGTTTTTGGAATGTGGGAGGAAACCAGGGTACACGGTGAAACGAAAATCCACGCAGGCACGGGGAGAACATGCAAGCTCCAAACAGGAAGGCCGTGCCGGAATCAAACCCTGCACCTCTGCACTAATAAATCGCTCACCGTGCCACTGGAGAATATATACACTTTAGTTCATAATGAAAAATAAATTAGGGGGTCGGATTAAATTAGTATTTAACCTCTACCTACTCCTATTCGATAATGATGGATGCATTGTTTTCTTATTTACGGTAATTCACTATGGATTATATTTTTTGTTGTTTTGTAACATTTTATTTATTTATGTATTTTACTGTTCGTAAATTATTTTCAAAATAAAGATTTCAATTAATGAGTTTACATACTGGTGTCACGATGGTTAAAACTCATTCAGTACCAGCCAATTCTAGACCAAGTCTGAAAAGACGTTGAAAAACGTCTTTGGGAGTGAATGAGTTAACTGGTTAGCATGTCCGGCCCACAGTGCAGAGCCTGTGGGTTCGAATCCGGGCCCGAAGACGTTGAAAAACGTCTTTGGGAGTGAATGAGTGCGGAGCCTGTGGGTTCGAATCCGGGCCCGATGTTCTCACTGTGCCTGCGTGGGTTTTCTCCGGGTACTCCGGTTTCCTCCCACATTCCAAAAACATGCGTGGCAGGTTGATTGGGGACTCGAAATTGTCCCTTGGTGTGAGTGTGAGCGCGGATGGTTGTTCGTCTTTGTGTGCCCTGCGATTGACTGATTGGCTGGCAACCAGTTCTGTATGTCACCCGCCTACTGCCCGAAGACAGCTGGGAGAAGCCGATCTGATCATTAATGGATGTTTACATACCCTGGAGGAATTTATGCAATGTTTAGTTCACCTTGTTCATAAACATAATGAAATTAATCCATCTACTGTTAGGTCAAAGTCTGTTATTATATTACGTGGTAAATCCAAGTGAGCCTGCAAAAAACTCAAAGAAAATTGCTTTACCTCCATCCTAGCATGCATAGACAAGCAAAAGGTAATACGGTACTGTAGTCACACCATATATTAAATTGAGCATTGGGGAATGCTTCGTGGTGCAGCTTTTCTTGTGGAGGTGATGTTCTTGCACAACACTTTAGCAAAAGGGATGTTTCCATTGCCTCAGCTCTGTCAATGTTAATGTACATTTCGCTCTATAATTTTTTCCTCTTTGGCATGACTGAGATGAGTCAAACTTGACTATAAGCTGCACTTATTTTTTTGTTTATAATGACGAAACATTATCTGGAGTTTCTCACAGCTATATCAAGTTTCCATGTCTATTCTGTTGCATTCTCCCGACGAATACTGATTGCAACTGTTTTAATGAGACTGCACTCAACCAGCTTTAAACAGCAGATGGGTTAACACTGCAGATTTTCTTTTTGGACAGAATGATGACAGCAAGAAACACATATGCACAGCATACGCACGTGCATGCACACTCACACACACACCTGCAATTTGACACTGCGTTTCATTTGCAGCGACTATGCATCATATTGTCATATTCATTCCATATTTGAGTCGCGCTATTTGTTGAGTTCGGTTAAGGTTTCTTTTTTGAGCTCAAGTGACAGCTGACACGGTCAGCTAAGAGTTTTTCTCTTCACAAAAAAAAAAAAAACATGGGGGGTGAGAAGAAACCCTAAACCTAATCTATATTTGAAGGTTTTATCAGCACCACTCAAGTTTTTATTTTGCCTTTATTGCTAATATTCATTATATATTACCAACATTATAAATTATACACTCCAGTCTAGCCTGAGTTTATCAGAACCTGACGTGCAGATGGTTGATTTTCTTGCTCAATTTCCTTTCGTTCTACTGCCCCCTATCGAAAATTTAAAACAGTGCTTTCTATAACAGTAAACTTGTGAACTGAAGAAAATAAATTCCATCATCAGTTTAAACGTTAACCTCTCTTCCAGATCAATAATTTCTTCAAATCCATTGGGAACCTTTTGTCCTGCGGTCAAATGAATCTGCAGTTCGCAAACACAGTTTGATGGTAAAAGAAAAAAATCTGTAAGATCTTAAATTATTCTGTAATTTACAACCACGATTCATGAACAATGAGTGATTCCCAGAATTTAAACATTGTTAATAAATTTTATGTTATAACTGCTCTAAATCTGCATTCATATTTATCTGTTTTTTTTTTCTCTCCAGGATGAAGTCAAAGTTCCCTCCAAACTTAACGTTTCCAAGTCCATGCGGGTCTCTGAGTCTGTATCAGGAAGCAGAGGAGGAAGTGTGCTCGAGCTCAAGGAAGCTACGGAGGAGCCTGGAGAGGACGCGGAAGAGGGTGAGAAGGAAAACAAACCCACTATCGACCTTTCCTCAGATGAGGAGGGCGTGGCGATCGAGGACGTCCTTTACGAGACCCGTGCGGAACGTATCAAGCGCAGCAGTCTGCAGCGTGTGCAAACCCTGAAGACCGTATTCTCCAAGGAGAAGATGGATAAGACCAAGGCGAAGACCAAGGAGAACCTGGAGAAGACCAAGCAGAACCTGGAGAAGACAAAGCAGAAGACAAGAGAAAATCTGGAGAAGACCAGGCAGAAAACTAAGGAGAACATCGTGAATACAAAGCAAAAGGCTAAAGAGAACCTGGAGAAAACCCGACACAACATTGAGAAGAAGATGGGAAAACTTGGAACACGCATGAGTGTCAATCCGGAACGCAAGCAGAAGCTCCAGACGTCCCGCAACAAGATGCAGAAAGCCTTCACGCCAGACCACGTGGTTTATGCACGTTCCAAGACTGCCGTGTACAAGGTGCCCCCTTTTACCTTCCATGTCAAGAAAGTCCGTGACGGCGCCGTCGAGGTGGTCCAAGGCACTGAGATGGTGGAGGTCTCCCAGAACGCCGAGCCCTTCAACGAAGTGGATGAAGAAGTCGAGGGAGAGGGGGTGGAGGTCGAGATGGAAATGATGAATGGTGGAGATGATGATGACGACGAAGACGAAGAGGAGGAAAGCCATGATGTCCTTGAGGATAAAGACAGAGACAGCGACTAGATCAAGAATAAGGAATTTGCCAAAGTCTTTGACAACCAACCCAGAGGTTATTTTGTAAAAACTGAATACAGTTTCGGGATTGAACAGATCGGTTTTATTTTCCTTCAATTTGATCCGACTATCGTTGTTTCCTTTTGTTCATTTGGGACATCATAATATGCCTCCATGCCGAGTTAAACCGGGAGAGCTGGCAAAGATTCTGAGTACCGTATTTTCTACACTATAGGGCGCTTTGCATTATAAGGTGCACCTTCAATGAATGGCCTATTTAAAAAAACTGTTTTCATATATAGTCAAACCTCGGTTTTCGAACGTCTCTGTTTTCGACCAAATCGGTTTTCGACCAAAAATTTTGAGTTTTTTATGCCTCGGATTACGACCGAAAATCGGTTCTCGACCAAACTGAGCGCACTTGAATGCGCCACTTGACTCCTCTCGCCTTCCTTATACGAGGAAGTGACGCTTCCTCGGGTAGATGAGGAAGTGAGCTTCCTCTTGTCGCGTTCCATTGTGAGCAGACGTGTTCAATAAAGATTTTTTTTTTTTTTTAAAGAGCGTGGTTTGGTTTTCGAACAAATCGGATTTTGAACAGCCTTCTGGAACAGATTATGGTCGAAAACCGAGGTATGACTGTATAGGGCACACTGCTTTATAAAAAAATAACTACAATAATGGCTGCAGTTGCGCTATGCATCCACTAGATGGCAAAACGATACAGGAATACAATACCATACAATACAGCTTTATTTATACGGAGCCTTCACAACCGCTGCAGCTGTAACAAAGCCATGAGAACTGGTCACAAACACGGACATGAAACATACAAATACAAATGGCTTTATAAAACTATAAATGAAAGACAAAAGTTATAAAGACGATTGAATCAACAAAAAGGCACACAAACCTCGTGGGTTCACATTCGCAAGGGGCTGAATATCCTTATAAGTCTTGTTTGTCTCCTTCTTCCTTCGTTTAGTCTGTAGTTAACTCTGCTTTTGGTATTAAAGTATCTTCGTTTCATAATGGCTGCGCAGAGCTCACAAAGTACCGGTAGTTGTCTGTTTTAGTGTGTGTTGGCGAATGCACGTGTCAATTAGTGTCCGGCAAAACCCTTTTACATCACAATTGGTTCCTGCTAATAATCACCACAAGATGGCATAGGAACACTAACAGGGAAACAACTCAACGGTTTTTTTTTTGCATTCGATTCATATTAGGCGCATGCCATTGTCGGGCGCACTGTCGGAAAAAAATGCTTTTAGGTGCGCCTTATAGTGTGTAAAATACAGCAAATTATTTGACAACTAACCCCTATCAGGGTTTGACTATTCTATTCCGAATGCTTCTGACAGCATTAGGTTTTGCTTCACATGGTCAGAATACACAACAGAAAACTTGCTTCCTGTAAACTTCCCTTAACTGATGGATTGTGCTAATTCACCTCACATTTTGTTTCACGCTTAAGCCGCTGTATGTTGTTTTTTCGAGGTCCTCCGAAATTTCATAAAGCAGCTAGGTCAAGTAGTTATTTGTTTATAGTGTGTAAAATACAGCAAATTATTTGACAACTACCCCTATCAGGGTTTGACTATTCTATTCCCAATGCTTCTGACAGCATTCGGTTTTGCTTCACATGGTCAGAAAACAACAGAAAACTTGCTTCCTGTCAACTTCCCTTAACTGATGGATTGTGCTAATTCACCTCACATTTTGTTCACGCTTAAGCCGCTGTATGTTGCTTTTTCGAGGTCCTCCGAAATTTCATAAAGCAGCAGGGTCAAATAGTTATTTGTTGAACCCCAAAATTTGGGTCAAATGAATACTACACAACACAACCCGATTTTGTGGTGTTGTTTTGTACAAAACAAACCAATTTTGAGGGGTAGGGTTAAACAACCCACAAATGAAAAACTCACAAAACAAACATCAAAAATTGGTTGTTTTGTGAGTTATTCATGTGACCCAACTTTTTCGGTTTAACCCTTTCATGCACCAACAATGATAACCTGTAACCTGTCAACATGATAAACTGTCCACTGTAGTAACCGCTGTCCTTGAAAGGGATTTAAAAAAAAAGGTCATTTGGTTAAATAACTAAGCGAAAAAGTTGGGTCGGTCCATTTTTGACCAATTTTGGGTTACTTCCGGCCCAACTGTTTTTAGAGTGCTTGAGTAGAGTAAAGCCATATGTTGTAGGTAATGGAGAAGCATTACAACATGATAAACTGTCCACTGTAGTAACCGCTGTCCTTGAAAGGGATTTTTAAAAAAAGGTCATTTGGTTAAATAACTAAGCGAAAAAGTTGGGTCGGTCCATTTTTGACCCATTTTGGGTTACTTTCGGCCCAACTGTTTTTAGAGTGATTGAGTAGAGTAAAGGCATTTGTGTCGGTAATGGAGAAGCGTTGGGCAACAAAATAAATACAAATCGAGAGAACCGTGATCATAATCCTTCAAAAAAAAACAAATGCCTTTAACTGCCTCCCAATCTCTCATCCTTTACTCTCTTCAAGCCTTACTTGGTCCAGTCTCCCATCTTCTATTCTCTTCAAGCCTCGCTTGCCTTCACATTTAAGAGTTTCTGTTGCAGTGTCGACAACTACGAAGCCTCCAAAAGTTGCCACAGCAGTATTCTTTCCCTCGCAAAATGACGTCTCGCCATTTACATGATGTGCGTATGTATATAAACAGAGTGATGTGCAATGCCACAAACAAACATGATGTGGCATCTTCAACATAGCGAGCTAATTGAACACAAGCTTAAAATTACAAAACAATTTACAAAAATGTTCCTTACTGAGCTAATGGAACTATTTCAAATTACAGATCCATTGGGGTTGTAAATAAATACCAATATTCATGGAGATTCAAAGTAGTAATGGAAAGTGGGCAAACAATGGATATTTTCTAGTTATGTGGACGAAAACAATGAGATATGCCCCAGAAGTGAAAATATAACAACCACACGACACCACCTTCCTGTGTGGAGTTGCGTGGGTTTTCTCCGGGTACTCCAGTTTCCTCTCACATTCCAAAAACATGCGTGGCAGGTTAATGGAATGCGATAAATTTTCCCAAGGTGTGATTGAGAGCGTGAATGGTTGTTTGTCTATGTGTGCCCTGCGATTGGCTGGCAACCAGTTCAGGGTGTACCTCACCTACTCCCCGAAGACAGCTGGGATAGGCTCCAGCACACCTCGCGACCCCTGTGAGGAAAAGCGGATCAGAAAATGAATGGATGGATCGATGGATGGTGGCTCCAAAAGCAACTGAGCCAATGCCGGATTATTTATACCCAATGCTGAAGATTTGACCTGGCACATCCGGTCAAGATTTTCATCCAACAAGGGGTACTACCCAAACTGATGAGTTGGACCTTCCAAGAAGAGGTTTTACCAGGTTATGAGTAAAGAATAATACAAATTTTATTTGCAACATTTTCTAAAAAGAAGAAGCAGCTTTCGCCAAGTCTGACTTCCAAGAAGAGGTTTTACCAGGTTATGAGTAAAGCCGTGGTTAAGAATAATACAAATTGTATTCACAACATTTTCTAAAAAGAAGAAGCGGCTTTCGCCAAGTCTGACGGCAAACAAGTTAAGACTGAATCAACAGCCAGTCGGCTGTCAGCAGCCATACAGTCCATTTTGCCTCAAACCAAAATGTATTCAACACAAAAAAAAAACCCATTATTAACCCTTTCATGCACCTTGCAACCTGATAACATGATAAGATGTCCACTGTAGTAACCGCTGTCCCTGAAAGGGTTAACTTCCATTTCATTGATTACCAATCCTAATTCTTTTTTATTTTATAAGATTTAAGACCAGCTAAGACCAATGTCCTAGGTTTATGTTTCACTTCCACATGTCTGTGTATCATTTTGAAAACTTTCTTTCTCTCAGCTTTTTTTTTTTAAATAATAAACTGAGATAAGGACCAATATGTCGAACAACTATCATAACACTGTCTAGAGTGTTTACTGTTGAGTATGCTTAAGAAATCTGATAGTTAATAAATTGCCAAGATTGTGTAACGCTGCAGACCGCTACTGCCCCCTGGGGCTCAATCATTTTGTTATGGTTTTGTCTGCAGCTTTCCAAGTGTTTCTCCAAGCATTTCAGTCAAATTGGTTCTCCTAAGTTTAACAGTGTTCACATTTGTTTGACTAACGTGTGTCGAGTTGTTTGATTTGGTCATCATTGCTAATTGTGAGGTCAAATTCATGTATTCTCATGATGGATGTTCTGCGATGACATAAAATAAAAGTCAATTCGCAAGTGATTTTTTTTTTCTCCATATAACTCAAACATGGGATAGAAGAGGGGAGATGGAAACCACCTAGGCCGGTAATACAATGAACGTCTAAAATATATTAAGTGTCAAGTTCAGCAATACTTTATTGTCCAAGATTATTTTGAGCACAGAAACGTGTTGAAATTGTGTTTGTTTTTTGTAAATAATCACAATGCAGTTCATAATACGTAAACATTTTGCATACCAGAAAGTATAATGCATAAAGCTGCTGGCACATACCTGTACCATGCATTTAGAAGTTTCTTGAGCCAAAATTGTCACGCTTGTCATAGAAAATGAAATATTCCAGCTTTTTTTTTTTAATGCACAATTTATCTTAGTGGTTTAATGATGGGCACTTCAAAGTGAATTAACATTGTTGTCATCGATTATTGTACAATGTTTCATTTACTTAACCACTAACGAATTAATAAAAGCTAATTTGTTCAGTGTTGGTTTTGTGTGAGTGTGTGTGTGCTTTTTTTAATTGTCACACATGATTAATGAAGTCACTGATATTATTGCAGTTTACCAGCCAGGCAACAGTGGTTCAATTCCCACTGCAGTGACAGTGTTTGTTTGCGTTCATGCCTGGCTGTCTCTACATCAGCTCACAAACAGCGAGTGTGCAATTTGATTTCCCCTCGATGTTAGCTGGGATACGGTCCATCTTCCGGCGACCATGATAAGGCGGATGTTACATGCAGACCCGTCACTGGACCTCAGTCTTTCGAGGGGCACATGAAATGCATGGGGGGGGGTCGGATTAATTATTATTACCCTATAAACAACTGCGTGCGTACATGCATGCATGTCAGTTCAAGTAATCCACTTATTCATGAACTTAGACGCTAACTTAAATTATTCACCTGCAGCCACCCAAAAATGCTAACCCAAAATTTCATCTGTTTTGCCATCGTTTTATGAAATGTGCATGGTGCAGTCAGGTGTCCAAGGACATTTCACTGAATGTAAAATATGTACAGTATTCACAAAAATAATGGGCAATTCAAATATGTGTTTGTTTGTTTTTTACCTGGTTAATGTCATTTTTTTTTTGCTCCTAAACTTTAGCGTATAGTATCGACACATCTTGAGTGTAAGTTGTCACCTTCATCTAAACACGATTACAAACTATCATCTGTGAGGCTATGTCAACGATGTTAGTTTTTAATAATATAAATATAAGTTTTTTTCTTCAGAAACTTCTCTTTTCTTGGATTTATGGTTTACTCACCAGGGTTAAAAGTAGCTTGAATCTTCGCGCCAGGTCATCAGGGCTTGTGATAAATGTTTTCAGTGACAAAAATACATAGTTTGAGCACCAAAATCTTCATATTTACAATTGCATTTAGAAAACCAACAGGTTTAAATGAAGTACTCATTATTTTCCAAGGTCTCACAGAGCCACAGCAGAAGGATGAAAGAGCTACATGTGACTCTGGAGCCGTTCGTTGCAGACCCGTGGACCAGCTAACTCTCTCTTCTGTTGCTTGGATACATGACACAAATGTGCCCTTTGGCTGTGAACTGGATAATGTGCTGGAACCCAAACAGGCACTGAGTTATTGAGAAAATGTCTAGGGTCAATATCACTATTATATAATTTCACACCTTTGGTGTCCTAATCAGATCACTCAGTAATCATGACAATGTAGCAAAATGAAACTTTGAGGTTTAATTAAAAAAGGCCAAACATTCTCCTAAGATTGTCCCTTCATTATATGTCCAGTATTTTTCCCCGACGCAAATCCACATCTACCTTTCAGGATCCGTTTATTATATATTAGACAGAGAGGCTCAGTAAAGCAAAAACAAATATGTCTTGTAAATTGGACACAGAGAACAATGTTGTTCATAACCCTGCAACGTTTGAATGATTAAAAATATCACAAAGTATATCAAACGAGGTCTGAAGATAAAATCATTCTTATATTTATATAAATAAATTTTGAAGTTTTGCTGGAGGTCAAAATGTGTTGAGACAAACCTGAACAACAAACAATTTATTGGAGCCAGCCATTTTTTGTTGTTTACATTAGCCTTGAACGCTTCGAAGTTGCACCTGGAACAATCCAAATTGGATTAATCCAATTTCAGATCGGTGATAAATCAAAATATAATCAGACCATTGTTTCTTTATATTTGTATTGTCTTAATAATAAACTAAGAAAATCCAAAACTAGTATTTTCTTAACACAAAAAAAGATACTGTGATAAAATACAAAAAATAAATAAAAATAAACATATACACTGTATTTTACTTTTAGAAAATCAGTGCCTCAGTTGGGGGTTGCAGCCTCATAGGCCTGTTTGTATTTGATGTCTATGGAGGGTGTTCTTATAAGATCGGCGACAGCAATTTAAAAAGAATTTGCATTATAAAATTAAATAATGGAAATTAATCTAATTAATTTAAAACATTATTTTTGATGAAGACGGTAAAGAGGGTGTTTGTTTTATTTTGAAAGATGAAAACGGAAGCTCTCCCTAATGTTGTCAATTTGATACATCGTCCCAGCAACAGCTGGTATCGCAGAATGTAGCGCGAACGTCAACAGCAGTGACGTTTAAGTTGTATTTACTTGTTGTTCTTCCGCCACTTTCCCATGGTGTTTCTGTGAGCTGTTCTGCAGCCTTCAAGAGGTGAGGTTCATTCGTAAACGTAAAAGTGTCAAGTGACGTCGGGGAGTTGAAGTTTGAATCGTATGCTGTAACTTAACAACCTTATACACTGAACTCGACGACGCTAGCGAAGATGGTAGCATACTTTCCCTAGCTAGCACAGTGCTCGTCCCACCTAAGTTAAAAAAAACAAAACAAAAGAAACTAAAAATAAGTGCAATATTCATGTAAATAAGAATACGAGTTCAACAATATTCAGATATTCAATGAAACGTATTTCTTAACTGAGTGTCATCTGCGTGCTAATCCCCAAGTGTGCGTTAACACGGTCGTTAGCAAGCTAAAATATCCGTTCAATTTAATAGGAAACAGACCAAGAACAAAATCTCTCTTCAACGTGTACCACAGACACATTGTTGAATGAAAAAGCCAACATTTGATAACTTATTCGGATTCAAATACGAGTTGTTCAGTCCAATAGAAGCTATTACCATTACTTTGCAAAGTAAAGCCCCGATGTTTAATAAACATCAGTACTGAAAATTGTACTTTTCAGTGTCCGTTGTTACATGCAACCCGAGTTTCCAACTTGGATTAAATCCTCTCTGTTTCGCATTTGTACCACACCCCCTCATCCAATACGCCCCCTTCCACAGGAGCACCATGGCAATGTGGATCCAAGCCCAGCAGCTACAGGGCGATGCCTTACACCAGATGCAGGCACTGTATGGCCAACACTTTCCCATTGAGGTGCGGCATTACTTGGCCCAGTGGATTGAGAGCCAACTCTGGTAATTTCAATTTGTGTTCCAAACCAAAAAATTCCATGCCGTAGCTATATCGATAATGGACCCATGATACACAATCAAGGAGGATGCAAGTCGTGCCGCATAAATAGTCAAATAAATAAATTATGAGGTCATGAAATTGTTTTGAATTTTAATCCTGGTTTGCGCTTTATATTGATTGTATTTTGACTCAAATAATGGTAGAATTTGCAGATTTCCTGTTTAATTGAATGGGCGAGACTCAAAGTGCGACAGCGAGCAGCCAACCTCGTCTCAGATTGGGCACTCCAGGGCTCTCGGGTGCACCCAATTTAGGTGCACAGGCACCCTAATTTCACAATGGTGCAGCTGAAAATAAAAGTTGCAAGCTGCTGAGGTATAATGGGGGGGGGGGGCAGAAACGGCTCCTCAAGCCTGAACAC